CGACAATGGCAGGACCATTACACCGCACCACCCTTAGGCTACATCAGCTCTACTATAGAATCCAAACTGAAACGCTCAAGAAACGAACCTGATAACTTTCGAGCATGGCAGAAGCAGCAGAGATGACACCAGAAATCATTAGAATCAAATTACCGAATCGTTCTGTACCGGAAAAAACACTACATTACTGGAATTTTTTTTCAAATCAAAACAGTAATATAATGACTGTAGGGACCAGAATGTGTTTTTCATACTATGTAGGAAAAGGATACACTGTTTTTTCAAAACTAGCGCAGTTATTCCTCACTGGTTCACCTCCAATGCAGCCAAATGTAAGAGTTCACGGTGTTTTGGGGACAAAAACGCAAGTAAACTCAGTGGTCTACAGAAGCCCTGGAAACACTGTCCATGTTTCGGCTTTCGTCTTGAATGAACAAGACGTCTCTGAGGGTTCTCTAGATTTGTCTCTGTCACAATAAAGAGCACCTATGCGCTGGGCTATCCCGCATGATCATCGAATTCCAGGGTTCACTGTTTCAGTCTGATCCATACCTCCACCCCCTCGCCTGGTCAGTGTTTTTTAGCGAAAAAACCTGTGAAAATAACTTCTATCCATTCTTTCAGTGAATTTCAGTTGTAAAAACCTTCTAATTTATGAACTGACCTGGATAATTTTCATAAGATATGGATTCATAGTATCGAAATAATGCCGAGATTACTTGATCGCGATATGCGAGCACAATCTTGCGAGATTCATCAGATATCTCAGATGTCTCTGAATCACATCTTATCTCAGCCACAGTTTCTGCTTTCCAAAATATTAAACCCCAAATAATCCCTATATAACATATCTGTCAAAGTAATGTAACACAGGTACGAACTCTCAGAAAAAACGAAAAACTACGACTTGAAAGGTTGAAAAACCCCACGTACCGGTATGATTTCCTAGATTAAACAACATTATTATTTTCAGCACTACCAATTCTTGCGGTAACAACTGAAGATGTTTCAATGGCTTCGCTACCTGAGAGGCGGCAAACTTGAAAAGTTCACTCATTTCGAACATAAAACTCCCACAACGGAGTCGAAAGCATAACTTCCAAACGACACGCCGTGAAGCGGGACAACTAGTCGGTCCAGGTAAATAAGACATCCCCTCGGATGGCCGAAACTCATCGCTCATACTCTACATTTAGACTTGCAATTTCGCTCATTCAAAATCGGAGTTTTCTGATCTCACCTCGTCAATGCACGTATCCGTCATATGTTTATACAGTTTCTCTTGTCGCCATCTTCGATCAGGCGATATAGATGACTGGAAAAATACAATAATAATGTAAAAATTGCTCTACAAAGCACTTTCTTCAGAAAGGCTCACTCGGCATTCTTCTGGAAGCATTTCAACATTTCTAGGCATGCATGTACCATTCGAAATCAACCAGACGTCGTCCATATCTGAGCCGGCTGTGAAATAACCATGCTCTAACACCAAATGATGTACAGCAAAACGCTGAAAACAGAATCTTTGTTCTCACAATCAGATCGATTATGAAGTAAAGGGTATGATAAGTTGGGTGGAAGCAAAAAATAAAATTACGAGAAGAACGAGAACCACAAGAACTAATGAAACTAAGAGACTTCGAGAAAACCAATGGCCAGAGGATATCATATTCGCTACCGGAAGTATGAGTTGAAAAGGTAGAGGGAGGTATTCGCGCTCTTGCATTTTGAAGTAAAATGTAATGGTGAGAACTGCTCAATCAGAAGTCCCCAGACTTCTTATACACGTCCATTTGGGGGCGGGGTAGCATTTGGCAGGGTTCAGAACTGCTTCAAGTGCTCAATTACATCATTCGCCAGTGAAAAGAGCACTTCTTCTAAGCCCACATTTCACCAACCTTTTCGCTCTACCCTTTCCATTGCCATCATAGACTCTTCCCATGAGCACCCGAAAGCACTTACTTAGAATAGCTTGTGAGAGTAAGTCTGAGAGGTTGCAGTAAGCAATACCTTGCATTGCCTCCACAGTTAGGAAAGAAAAGAAAAAGAAGAAAAATGAAGAGGTGCTCAAAGAGACGCCAGCCCCACCCTACAACTAGTCCCGCCCTTCAAGAAGAGCTCACTCCGTGGGTGTAAGCGAAGCTACAACTTGCCTGCAAAGCCTACCTTCGATGTTAACTTTTTAAGGACAAAGCTCTGTAAATTTTTGCACTGTACCTTATCTAATAGTGAAATGAACTAACAATACAAGTATAATACCTTGAGCAGTACCACCTTATCCGGTATTGCCAAAGGTGGAAAACACGGCAGCGTACCAACCCACTCGAGCATCATCAAAAGATCCGTTTGCGTAACATTTGATATATCTTTAGCAAGCATTATCATCAATTTGCTGGTGCCACCGTCACTCTGAAGAATAAAACTATTCGAATCAAGAGACAGCTTAGTTCTTAAGTAAAGAGTCAAAAGGAACAAAATCTCGATCAAATATATCTGTAACATGTTTCCAAGCTAAATCGAAAGTCGAAAAACAACTTGAACAGACTACGAACGGGTAAATCCCTCTAATGAAATTCATTGTGCCGGACCACCGCGGGTCGCGCTTTCCACGAAGTCTTCGCACAATAAAAAACCCACCTGTGAACTGCTGCCGGCGCGAATACTTTCAGCTAAATTCATTGCTTCTTTCTTGGAGCGAACTATATCGAATTTTTTTCGTCTGAAATAGCGATTTTAAACACTGGGTTGATCCCGAAAATATTTATGCTCCACGAATGACTGTTTGTGGCGAAAACGCCTGTCACATATGCTGCCCGTAAGATGTNTCATTGTGCCGGACCACCGCGGGTCGCGCTTCAGATGAAGTCCTCGCACAATAAAAAACCCACCTGTGAACTGCTGCCGGCGCGAATACTTTCAGCTAAATTCATTGCTTCTTTCTTGGAGCGAACTATATCGAATTTTTTTCGTCTGAAATAGCGATTTTAAACACTGGGTTGATCGAAAAATATTTATGCTCCACGAATGACTGTTTGTGGCGAAAACGCCTGTCACATATGCTGCCCGTAAGATGTGAAACGGTAGTAATTATATAATCTTTCCAGGATAAGCCACGAACACGACTCAATGATTGATCTCAAAAAATCCGAGTGGATGATAATCCACTGATCATTTTTGTTCTCCAAAACGAGCATAGAATGAAGTGTTCGACTCCTAAAATATGGAAACTCTTCGAGCAGATGTAAATCTTACCTGATCCTTTGATCAATTTGTGTGAGTCGTTCAATGAGAAGTAGTTGCCGCTCTTTGTATGCTTCGTAAGCGGCATTTGATGTGCTCGGCTGCGGAGAAGGAGCTGACGTTGTCGGACGAGCTCTCACGCGGCGACATCCGATCAAATCTCGACGAGGTTGAAGCGCTAAAACTCAGCCGTAATTCTCCACGTCCAACTGAGCGGGGTGAGTCAAATCATACCCTTTCTTCAATTTTATTTCGATCACATATCTACGCATTTTCCGATTTGTCGCTTATTGTGACGCCTCCTTAGGTATAATAAATAAAAAAAATAAATAAATAAAACAAATCGTAACAAAAAATACAGCCTTCAACTTTGAAGCATCGAAAATTTCAAAGCGAGAAAAGTATGGCTGGCGATAGATGTTTATTTATTATCGAATCTACCACAGGTTCCTTTTCATCATATATAGGGTCCACTCAGAACCTACTCTGAAAATTTTGTTCCAACTGGCTAGAAACCAGAAGCTCAATAGTTTTATTTCGATTACATATCTACGCATTTTCTGATTTGTCGCTTACTGTGACGCCTCCTTAGGTATAATAAATTAAATAAATAAATAAATAAATAAATAAAACCAATCGTAACAAAAAATACAGCCTTCAACTTTGAACCATCAAAAATTTCAAAGCGAGAGAAGTATGGCTGGCGATAGATGTTTATTTATTATCGAATCTACCACAGGTTCCTTTTCATCATATATAGGGTCCACTCAGAACCTACTCTGAAAATTTTGTTCCAACTGGCTAGAAACCAGAAGCTCAATAGAAAAAGTTGTCCGAAAAATTGCTGCAAAAACGGACCGAGCTTTGTATCTTTCAGATCTTTCATGAAAACTTTAAATTTCTGAATGTGAGTATTGAATGGATATCAGGAAAAATGGCTATAAACGATTCAGAAAACAGAACCTTCCAAAAATTATATGCACCTGTATAGAGAGGTGATTTGAAAAATTAGCTGATGTAATACAAACTATTTTAGGGCTCAATATAAAAATTACCTTCTCGACTCATTCCGCATTCCAAACACTTCCTATATCGGCATGCCCGACAAGCTTTACGTGCCGATTGTGCCACATCACATTGACTATCCCGTTTACACGTAGTGTCTTGTCGTTGTACAACTGCCCTTAAAATAAATAAATTATTTAATAGGCAAATAAATAAATAGAAACTCTACGCATTTAGAAACAAAAGAAAGGATGATCTCATGACATTTCAGACTTTTCTTCAGAGAAATTTTACTTATTTCGAGTATCAGTAAGTTTCTCAACATAAATAAAAACAGAAATAAAAAAATGAATACAACAATTTGGGTATATGAGTCGAAGTGAACAAGATAAATGACTTCAGTGTTGAGTAAAAATTATAAACAAACCCAAAGCTAATCAATAAAATCAAATAAAATGAAAACAATGAGAACAAATAAGAGTAAACAAACAAATGACTACAAAATTCTTTTGTATTCAATTTATGAGTCTGCTTTTTAATCGCTTTTCTGCCCTATCTGAACCATTTTGCTGAAATTACACGGAAACGTTAAAAAAAATCGGATTAACAAACCTTCGAAAAAATGTTTTACATCCTAGGCAGGCAACAATCCCGTAGTGTTTACCGGTACTTGGTTCACCACATATCAGGCAATCTCCTATGACACCTGAACAAGAGTACATGTTGAAAAGAAAAGTTTCCATCGACCTTCTATACAATTTTCCTATAGAAGCCAGAACACTTGTACAAAGAAATTGATATAAGGGGCTTTCCCGAAAATGCTTATCTTCCCAAATCCGCATGTCCTGATAAAACACAGACCATTTGCCTCATTACAACAGTTGAAGCGTTCTTCATGCAGCTCAATCGCTATGTGATTATTACCTTCGGCATGATTGTACTGATAGTTCTTTTGTTCTTACTGTAATACTTACGTGCTGCTGCATTCCGCTACATTCTTTCGCGCGCGCACCTCTCTTGTGCGACGCGGCAATTTCGTTCCTACTGCACCACACCCCGATAAACCACTCAGTATGCCAATCCCTTTGACGCATGCACTTATCAGCTTATCTTCCTGCCCGCAAAATGTCCTACCTACATTATAATAGTTATTAACATACTCCACATTGGAGCCTGATTTCATAATCAACCTTAGACAGACCCGAAGCTGGCAAAATCATATGAGAGAGGTTGACATCGTTTGATTATCATACTCTTGACTGTTGGTAGCGAAATAACCTATCCTATTTGAATATTTAATTCTTTTTTTGATCATATAATATGGAAAGAATCGAAGTTTACTCCATGTCTCATTCCGTTTTGGAATGCGCTACGCATTAGAATACCACCCAGAATCGTACACACATTTGAATGCGTATTCGGCCCATGCAATGACTTACGGGGCCAGTCGATGTCCAAGTCAGGTTTCCTCCTGTAAGACCAGACTAGTGCCGAATAACAAACCCCAGGAAATAAGAGAGGCCAGACAACCGAGCCCTGGTTATCCGATACCAGACTCGTCCGGGAGGATAAAAGCTTCGACCTGTACAACAGCTGGCCTCCGCAAGTCATTCTATATTATTATCCTTACTGTCTCAACTAGGAAGCACAAGTACTGTTCTAGCTTCTCTCAAAAGAATGGAGACGATACGACTCAACCAACTATCAACACATCTGTACAGAAAGTTGCTGTTCACTGGTTGGTATCTAGAGATAATACTGACTCCCCCTGGAAGTTGACTTTATTCCAGTATCAGGAACTATCCCTCCAATACATGATTGAACATCTTCGTATCCGCAAAAAATACTAGCCTGTGGACGATTTACAAGATAGAAGAAGCATCGCTACCAGATTAAGACAGAGTAGAAGATAATGATTGCAATAGAGCTCTTTCAATCTCAATTCCCGCTACTTCTATGCCCAATTTGAATAATGTAGGATGTTTTGCGTATAAAATAAGCCTACCTTTTTCATGCTTGGACGTGGATGGATAGTTTGCAGAACTCGTTGCCATCTGAAATACTTAACGTCTAACTACCGGACATATTAACTAACTTTTCCAAGCATGAGCTCCTTCTCGTGAATAAGACAGCGATCTTCATGATGACATGATCAGAATGGATTGCTCAGCAGGAGATGTAAGAGAGATCGTGAAGGGAAAGTAAAAGGAGCGAAAAATTTGTAGAAAAGGATGTTCTTCACGAAAATAAGTAATATTACAGATTAATTTCAGCAAAGAATATGGCTATTGAATGTTTCCTCTGTACTCCTTTTGCAAGATAGTTTGAGAGGTAATCAGTCATTCATCTTGAAGACAACCTATGGCCGATACTACTACAAGATTAACTGGTGTCTGTTGCATCAAAGTTTGTAAAGCATACAATGGCAAAGTGATGAATAGCCCAATTGCTCCAAGTAAGACCGAGGCATCCATGGCCATGGTGGCTTTTCCTTTGGACTACTCCTTTGAATTCATGAACAAATTTCCACAGCGCCTCAAAGTATCGTCCTGATTTTAAATGCATGTTAAACGCACGGCTTATATCATGGAGATCCATCATTAACCAACGCTCTCTTTTACTGATATTCATTACTGTGATGTCACTTTAATTTCTATCAGTATTTTCTTAGTATTTTCCGTTTCTTTACCTATCATTTCATCATTTTTAACATTTACAGTAATACACTGTCTCGGTATCTGTCATCACTTGAAAATTGAATTCCTGTTCTTTCTTCCTGAGTCTGGTTCTGTTCCAACTGATGCGTTTGATAGTTCTTTGAGTACGCCGATTGACACTTTAGGAAACCAAGAGCAAAAATGTATCCTTTCACTGAATCCCGCCACGTGAAATTGATGGCCGTGTCGCGAATATTATCTGATTCTAGCAACAAAAAAAGGCTTAAATTTGGTCAAATTAGTTTTTTATCCGATTTATTTATTCCCTTTAGACCGCTTCACCTTGGCCCCTCCTTCCCCTCCCACCTATTTCGCTTGAAAATAAGATCGTGGAACTTTTCCCTCTCTCCTTCGCAGTATTAACGAACAACTCTTACAGGTGGTCATGAGGTCATTTTTCCTGCTTCTTACGCCCTTTCTCATCATAGTTCTAGCCTTTCTCTACAAAACCTTCTCCACTCTTCCGTTTCTAACCCGGAACTTTTAATTGGGTTACAGTATTTTGAATATTTAAATGCATACAAAAGAAATTAAATAGTGGGACCGAGGTGAAAAAGTGATCAGGGATATCTTGAGGCGCCTATTTCGAAAATATCGCTAGCCCGTCCAAAAGTTTGGACGTGACCATCAACTGCTCTAAAAGAACTTATTCGGAAGCATTTCTGTGAGAAGAAGAACATATCCTTCTTCTCATAGAAATGCTAAGTGAGGTCAATCCCCTTAAGAATGCGCCACCGCTTTCCACTTTTCTTCAGAATCGCAGAGGTGATTGAATGTACGTAGATTCTTCAACGACTTGCTGTGGCTAGCCGATACTATTCGGTAATTCGATCCTCTCCGACTTGTACTGATCCGGACCATGCGTTGTGGTAATGCGCTCTTTACCACTACACCACTCAGCATCTACTACCCTCTCTATTTAAATTTAATTTTGCCATATGACAAAGCGGTGTACCCCCTTACGAAAAGGCATACTGTTACGCTGTTATTGATAGATCGTTTCTGGATGCAAAGAAATCAAACAAGTCACACCTTGATATTACATCATCGGACGTCCAAAATCAGACTTTGCGAGAAAAAGATCGCCCAACATTCTTCCCACAGCTGACCACACCTCTTTTTAGTTGCCAAAAAGACAAAACGAACTCAGGCTGTCCTTGCCCTGAAGTTCCCAATGAACTAGTATGCAACAATTACATTCTTCCTCAGCTCGGGTCGGCACGAATCTTGCACAATGAATTCCGGAATCTTGCTTTTGAGTAGAACTTTTCAGCCCATACAAAGCCTCTTCATGTTGGCATAATGACATTTTATGACCAGCCATTACTTTGAAGATCTAACCATTCATTAATGTACCCTTGCTTATTTTTCTGGTGTTTATCTTTTACACTGCGATACTTAATATTTCTTAATATTTGAGAAAGAATACTTCAAATAAGCTTGTCGTGATAAAAACAAAACCTTTCTGTGCAGTCACTCGAGAAATAACAAAAAAAAAATTCACATCAAATGTTCGCCAAATCGCATGACCGCATGGATCAGGTAAAAAAAATGTTCGTGAGTTCCAAATTCACGTTGTGCCAGAGCTGAAGAAACCAAATTTTCAAAAGTGAAAATGCAAAAGCGCAAACAATCAAAAAAACCAGTTTGCTACCTTATACCTACTCTATGTTTTCTCTATGTTTTGAAAGATTTGTCCCCCTTACATTTCTATGAAATTCACAACTGTCCAAAAAGTTTCTTTGAATTTTTATTTTCTCCAAAAATTTTTTTTAGGAGTAGTCGCGAGCTACAACAAGTTGTCTCCATCTATGCCATCAATGATTTGTTGATAGCTGGGCAATGAGTGAAGTTGCCTTCCTTCCACATAGCCTGCCAGAAGAAGTAAACTAAACCTGTACCATTGGAATGCTCACTTCCGCAAAAAGCAATTCTGAGCTGTTGTGGAGTAGGCGTACCTGTTCGCACTACGGATATCTGCCAGACTAATAGTCGCTAACGGAGAAAACTAGCTAATTTTGTCCTCAATCGTGCCATCCTGCTGAGCAGGGTATAATCTTGTCTGCTGAATTCATCAGATCACTTAACTGGTTTTGCCTTTCCTGACCGATTAAACTACTGATGCTTCCCGGTTACTTGACCAACAGAACAATTTTTCGGTTGACCTCAATACTTCCAAACCGAAGAAGCGGGTGAACAATGTCCCTAGAACATCCCTCAATAGGGGACAGAAAGCACGAAGGCTTGTTTGGGTTGCTCTCAATGGAAAGGCACGGCTCCAGATCAGACATCGATGGCCTATCAAAACCAGTTCATGTTGTGCTTCCCAAGTGAAATTCAAAGGAAAAATATTACTTTGAACTTTGGGGAAATAGTGACTCAGACGAAATCCTATTGAGAAGCCCTTGGCAAATATTATTTCCTCATATCCCACGAGACTAGGAAAGGCAGCTGAAGGAGAGACGGATGTGGTGCCTTGGATAGAAGTCAATATAGGTACAACAATGTCTATGCCTCAGATGNAGAGACGGATGTGGTGCCTTGGATAGAAGTCAATATAGGTACAACAATGTCTATGCCTCAGATGACTGGATTTTAAAGCAAGAACCGAAGTTTAGACCTCATTAAAGTAAAAAACAGTTTTTTCTGGAACAACATGACACTTTCAAGATGTCCATGCAAAACCCGTAAGTCTCCCACCCATAGCGTTGATGATGGACTCTGTGAATCCATTACACAGGAGTGTTTTATACAAGCAATACGAAAAAGATTACGAAGCGTGACTTTCAGATCAATCACCCCCGTCACTTCTTCATTTATCTTATTCAGCAATGTCCGTAATGTGATCAAACGTTCCTGCACAAACTCCATCTATTATACCATGACGGTTTCAACTTTTTTCTCTGAAAAATACTGGATACTCATCTAATTTTTGGCATATCCTCCCCTATTTAGCCGTATATATTCAAAACGTGGTAGTCAATGTTAGGAAACGTCGACAGTGC